AATAAAAAAGATAATAACAGAATACTACAAAGGGCTATACTCCAACAAATTTGAAAATTTGGATGGGACTGATTATCGAGCCATTGAGGGTAGATCAAAAAGGTACTGCATGCAAGTTTGGGTGTTCTTGTGCATCTCCCCTCACTTCATATTAGCTGGATGCTTCACTCTCAGCTCTAGCCCTCTGTGGCTAAGTCCTTGTCCATGGGCTCAAGTGTCCTCAGGTCTCACCACACTTTGGACCAACCAGCCCTTCCTCTTCTCTCTCATCTGCAGGTCAATGGGATTCAATGGACTGGGGTTGAACTCAGCCCATTTCATCATTGATGCCTTTCCACCTCTTCCACTCACCTGTAGAACAATGTGGTCGCCAGCAAGCTTACATGCTTGTTTGTGTATTCCCTTTGAGTTTCAGTCTTAGAGGGGAGTTTGTCCTGAAGGCACTTGATTGCTAGCCTTGATGTCTTTCTGGCAAACAGCTTGCTTATTCTTGTAGTAGCCAGTCAAGCTGACATTTTTGTTTTGGGTTTTTCCTGATTATCTTTCTTTGAAGATGTATCTTCTGTCACTGTAGCTGTTCCAGTCTGCATGTTCTTTCTAATGGGAATGTCCCACCTCATAAGGTTCTGGATGGGACTCAGGATTCTACCTAAGGTCCTATACACTGTAAAGGCTTTGCGCGGGGCCTATTTCATTGGGCAAGTTGTAGAACCCCTTTTAGGTATTCCAATCAGTTATAGGCTGAAGGTGGGCTTACAAGTTTTCTCTATTCATGTTTCCCAACATTCCTTTTTATCTCACTCAAGTGTCTATTTTATAATAGTAGGCAAGGGAAACTAATATTCATAAGGCAGTCAAGGATTTTAGTAGTATTTACCCTCTTCAAGCTATACCTAGATCCCTGTATTCCAGAGCCCTGTTGTTCCAAGGTTGAGTATGCATCACTATTTACTTCTGTCCCACTAGGCCATGCAAACCTGTCTCAGTGTTCCCCTATCTA